TGGGTAGACTATTTCCTCTAATTATTCTTAATTTCGATTTGACTGTGTTTCTTTAAATTTATTTTTTTAAACTCCCTAAGAATAAGACTTTAATATTTATTGTTTCTTGTAGCCTAATTCAGCTCTGGTGGCTTTAATGGTGAAGACTCTGTATGAATTCCTTGGTTGTAGACAGTCTTTGTATTATGGCTTTCTCAGATGCTGGTTGTAGTAGTCATGTGCTCGGTGTGTAAGCAAGTTCACTGTCTTCTATGGGGCTGAAATGGCAGAGGTCTCTTGAAGCCTATGTCATTCCCCTGTGGTGTGCATTTTTAAATTAACTTTTTTCCCCAGTATTTTATATACTGGGTTGAAGAGTTCAGTCTCAGGCCAGTAGGAGAAGTGTCCATGAGTTTTAACTGGTTGTGGCTAAAGCAGGTGGGTAAATGCAATACCCAAAGGTCGGCAGAGGTCCCAATCTTGACAGAGGTGGCTAGGGGAGCTCTAGCCACCTCTGTCAAGGTATAATGTCAGGGTAATGAACTGAAGACTTATTAGGGGGAAGGCTAGAAGCCACCTCAGCTTCTATGCCAGGCAAGCAGGAATACCATCCACCTCCCAGTCACACTCCTAAACCAGTGTTCCAGCTATTCAGATCAAATAGGCACCTTTTCTCATCTGCAGGAATGTTGATGCTCCAAGTAGTTAGAGATTATGAATCTACCCCTCATACAAGCCTGAACCTGGAGGACAGTTCTCCTGTAAGGATGCAGACAACTGGAAAGGCAATACGTACACCCATGCAAAGCTCCTGTGAGAGAAGCTGTAGCTATGTCTGCAGTGGTGGGCAAGGGGGAAAAGAAATCCCCTTCTCCAAGACCCTGAATGAACACCAGGACTGCCTGACTGTTTTGGGGTAGAGTTACAGACTTTCCCTGTTCAGCCCAGCACTGCAGCTGTGCCTCTGTTGAAAGAAACGTCCCACCAGCAGAAAGTCCTGGGACTCAAGGCCTGCTATGTGGATTCTTTTGTGCCACAGGGTGCTCCCTTAATGCGATGCTCTGTTCCTTTCCCTAGGAGTAGGACTCCCTGAGAGCCAGACTACTGCGAATCCTGCTGTCCCTCTGGGTCTAGCCATAGTTGTTCATAGCAGTCTCTAATGATCCTTTGAATTTCTGTGGTATGTGTTGCAATGTCTTCTTTTTCATCTCTGATTTTATTTATTTGCGTCTTCTCTTTTTTTCCTAGTTTGGCTACCGGATTGTCAATCTTATCTTTTCAAAACACCAATCTGCTCTGCTCTGTATTATTTCTTTCCTTCTACTAATTTTGAGTTTGTTTGCTCTTGCTTTTCCAATTTTTTTTTTTTTTTTTTTTTTTTTTTTTTATTGAGACAGAGTCTTACTCTGTTACCAGGCTGGAGTACAGTGGTGCAATCTCGGCTCACTGCAAACTCTGCCTCCGGGATTCAAGTGATTCTCCTGTCAGCCTCCCAAGTAGCTAGGGCTACAGGTGTGCTCCTCGATGCCCAGCTAATTTTTGTATTTTAGTAGAGACGTCCTTTCACCATGTTGGCCAGGATGGTCTAGATCTCTTGACCTTGTGATCCACCTGCCTCAGCCACCCAAGGTGCTGGAATTACAGGTGTGAGCCACTGACCCAGCCTGCTTTCCAGTTAAGATGCATCCTTAGTTTGTTTATTTTATCTTTTTCTAGTTTTTGATGTAGGTGCTTATTGCTGTAAACATTCCTCTTAGTACTGCTTTTGCTATATCCCATAGGTTTTGGTATGTTGTTTCCATTATTTGTTTCAAGGAATTTTAAAATTTTCTTCTTAAGTTCTTTATTGATCCACTGGCCATTCAGGAATATATTGTTTATATATGCTCATGTCATTTCCAAAATTTCTCTTGTTATTGATTTCTAGTCTTATTCCATTATAATCAGAGAATATGCTTAATATAATTTTAATTGTTTTGAATTTTTAAAGACTTGATTGTGGCCTAACATATGGTCTGTCCTTGAAAATGATCCATGTGTACCCTGTAGCCATTAGAGGAAATGTTCTATAAATATCTATTAGGTCCATTTGTTCCATGGTGCAGATTAAGTCCAATGTTTTTCTGTTGATTTTTTTTTTTTTTTTGGTCTGGATGATTTTTCCAGTGCCGAAAGTAGGGATTTGAAGTCTCCAGCTATTATTGGGTTGGAGTCTATCTTTCTCTTTATAATTCCTTTATAGATCTGGGTGCTTCAGCATTGGGCATCTGTATATTTTCAATTGTTATAGCCTCCTGCCGAACTGACTCCTTTATCATTGTTTAGTGACCTTCTTTGTCTCTCTTCATAATTTTTATCTTGAAATCTCTTTTATGTGATATAAGTGTAGCTACTCCTGTTTTTTGTTTGTTTCATTTGCATGGAATACCCTTTTTCATTTTGTTCAGTCTCTACTTGTATTTATATGTGAAGCGTATTTCTTATAGGCAGCAGATCATTCGACCTCGTGTTTTCATTTATGTATTGTTTTTATTTATTCAGCCACTCTATATCTTTAGACTGGAGAGTTTATCCACTAACCTTCAATTTTATTGTAGATATTCTTATCTTCCTTTTTTTCCTTACTGTGTTTGTTTTAGTGATGGCGATTTTCTCTAGCATGTTTTAATTTCTTGCTTTTAATATTTTGTGTATCTGTTGTACATGTTTTGATTTGAGGTTATCATGAGGCTTGAAATTGCTATCTTATAACCTCCGTTTTAAATTGATGATAACACTGTATAAAGAAGCAAAAAAGCAAAGAGAAAATGAACAAAACCTCTACACTTTAATTTCATTGCCTCACTTTTAAACATGTGTTGTTTCTGGTTATATCTTACTACACTGTTCGTGTCTTAAAGCTGTTGTAGTTATTTATTTTTGATAGGTTCATCTTTTAGTTTTCTACTAAAGATACAAGTAATTTACACACCACAATTACAGTGTTACGATATTCTATGTTTCTCTGTGTACTTACTACTACCAGTGAGTTTTGTACCTTCAGATGATTTCTTTTGCTCATTAACATATTTTTCTTTCAGATTGAAAAACTCCCCTTAGCATGTCTTTCAGGACAGGCCTAGTGTTGGTGAAATCTCTCAGCTTTTGTTTGTCTGTGAAAGTCTTCATTTCTCCTTCATGTTTAAAGGATATTTTGCTAAATATACTATTCTAGAATAAAAGGGTTTTTTGTTGTTATTGTTTAGCACTTTAAATATGACATGTCACTCTCTCTTGGCCTGTAAGGTTTCCACTGAGAAGTCTCCTGACAGATGTATTGGAGCTTCTTTGTATGTTGTTTCCTTTCTCTTGCTGCTTTTAGGTTCTTTATCCTTGAATCAAGACCCTCCCTGTGTTTGCCCCATGACTAGTAGAGACACAAAAATTAGCAAGATACTCTTTCCATTCTCAAGACATTTGCAGACATCTAAGTAAATTATCTGAAAACGAGATGGCAGAGGAATCATGGGAATATGATGTGACATTAGGGACCTGTTTAGGTTAGTTTCCCAGAAACAAAACTTGGGAAGATTCTTATACGTGTGAGATTTGGGTGGCATGCTCTCAGGAGATCTTTACCAACATCTCTATAAAAAGTTTTGCAGGGTTATACACTATAATGTTTAAAATGGTTATAACAGTTTTGTGATTTCTAGTGACTCTTTTTTTTAGTTGATTGTGTTTTCTACTTTGTCATTAGTGTAGTTATTACAAAAGAGAAAATGAAATAAAATAAGTTGGTGATGTAGCATAGGACAGGTCTCTGAGGGCAGGGAGACCAGCCACAGCCTGATTCTGTGAGAAGCTCTCAAGCAAGTGACATCACAGACTTGGCCCCACTTTGAGGCAAGTGGGATGGGCTTTTACATCCCCATACCAAGCTGTGAGTGGCTTCAGGCACAAGAAGGAGGCCTTATAATCTTCTGGGGAGAGGCAGACTCCATCAGTAGAAGGTAATTCTCCATGGAAGATGGCCGTTGTAAGCTGTTAGCAACCATCTCAGTATCTGGAGTTTGGGGGCTCCTTCCTGGTAGAGAGGATCTGGGTGGGACACCACCAATGGCTACTTCAGGAAGACAGAGTAATGACACCTGGCCATCCTGCAGAGGAGAGGCAGTGGTCAGGGAGGGAGAAGTTAGGAAGGCTTCCCAAGTTAAGGGGTCCTTGTGATTATGGGCTTTTGATCCTGAACCTTTCTTGATTTGAACAAAGTCAGCCAACTCTATAATATGGCTAGCTTTGGGGCTCCTTCCGAAAGAGAGGAATGTTCATCTAAATCTTTTAAGCATTTGAAATCAGATTATAAAATGGAAAGATCAGTGATGCCAACATGCCTGCAGGCAATGTCTATTCCTATACAAAGACGTTTGTGGCACAAAAGCTGAACTATTGGTAGGGGAAAAAATGATGTTTTCCTTCCCTCTCTCCCTATCCCATTTCTCTCTCTCGCTCTTTCTTAAACATGATATTGTCTTTGGGGATTTAGATAAGAAAGTCTTCTCTTAAAGGAGAAGCAGGTTTGGAAAGGTGTTCATAAAGAAAAAGGCAGGTTACAAAATAACATATTTATGATTCTTAACCAACATCTTTATAAAAAGTTTTGCAAGATTATATACTAAAATGTTTAAAATGGTTATAACAGTTTTGTGATTTCTAGTGACTCTGTTTTAGTTGATTGTGATTTTTTATTTTTTTTAAACTAGGTGGAAAGTATTACAACTCCTTTATCAGGAGGAGAGGGTTGATTGTGTTTTCCACTTTGTCATTTGTATAGTTATTACAAAAGAGAAAATAAGATGAACAGAGATGACAGTTGATTGTCATTGTCAGTCTTTTCTTTGGTCTGACCATGCTCTTTCCACCTTCATAATGAGAGCTTACCTTATTGCCGTCGGAGAACTTGAGCTTGGATCCTTTATGCCAAGCAGACTGATTGTGGTTATTGACACCCACCCCCTTTCTTCTTGCTACTGCCTCTGCAGGTAATTTTGGAAACCTGATTGATGGAGGGTCCCATCGTGGGAGTAAGAAGTCAGCTGAATCAGCTGAAGAAGACCTCCTTCCGCTGCTTCAGGAAGGACAAGGGGATGCGACCCATGATGCTCCCATTCCTATGGCCTCCACCACTCACCCAGAGAAGCCACTGGTGACAGAAGGGAACAGGTAGGAGACACAGCCGGGGAGAACAGCCAAGGATTTTGGTGGTAGGATTTTGTCCAATTTCTAGAACTGTTTCCTTCAGTTCTTCAGTAAAATAAGAAACATAATTTTTACAATCTCAGCTATGGGAACAAGGTGCAAACAGGGGCAAGATGTTAAGTACCATTCAACTGAATTTAATCCAGATAACACACCTAGGTAATTCATTTAAAGGCAGAGCAATGATGATGATGATGATTATATCTGAAGCACCCTTTATTCTTTAAGTGAAGCATAATAAAATAGGAAGCTCAGAATTTACAATTGCAATCCAAACCCTCTTATTATATTCATCAGAATTCTGCTATTATATAAATTCAGTTTGATGGGATTATTGAATACATAATTTCTTATCTTATTTTTGACACAGTCATTTGTAAACTGAAAGACTCAAAAAAAAATTGTCAAGCACCAGAAAAGATCATTTCAGAAAGCAGCTGGGGCACTTACATGTACTCTCACTGCTCTCCTTTAATCCATGCAAATTTTTAACCTGCAAATAGAAGTAAAATTATAGAATTTTTAAAAAGAAAGTAGTGTCAAGTACCGATCAAATGAGAAGGGATAGTGTAGTGAGAGTCCTTTATTGCCAGATCTTGAAGTATCCATGATGTTATTACATTCTCATGAAATCATGTTTCTTTCCACATCTTACATGTGAAAGGAATGGAGGTGTGGCATGGCCCTGAGAAGGCTACATTGCTATGCTCCTCAGTCCCTTTGCTCTTTCCCATCTAGACACTTTCTGGAGACTGACCCATGACCACTCTCAGGATAACAGGGACTCCCAAATCTGTTTACCTAGACAGTCCTCTTTCCTGAGCAGCAGATCTAAGCACTCCCACTCAGATGTCCTACAGATTACTCACCAGGCTCATTTTCTTCACCAACAACTTTTCTTCTTTCCCTATTTTTCCTGTCTCATGGACTGAGCCCACCATTCTGAGTCCTCCAAGCCACAGACAAGCTTGTCGACTGTTCTCTCTTCCTTCCAACCTTTATCTGCTCAGTAACAAAGTCAGTCAATACAGTTCTTAAGTACTTCTCATATCTGTTGCCATTTAAAAACTTCTGGCCATTGGTATCTTCAGCCTGGATTACTAGAAAACAGCAACAATAAAACCTCCTACCTGGCTTGGATCTTATTCAAGACCTTCACTAAACTACATGAACCAGTCACTCCCCTGGTTCACATCACTCGTTGACTCCTTGTGGCTTTCAAGATTAAATCCAGAGGCCATAGCTTATGGATGGATTTGATCCCTGTCTACTTCACCACCTTCATCTCTGGCCACTCCACAAACTCTGTCTGTCTTCTGTTCCAAACTACAGGGCCCCTGGCAGTTTCCCAGTATGTCCTGCTGTGTGCTGCTTCTGGACCTTTGAACACACTCTTCCTTCTGCCTGTCAACAGATCTGCTAGGTTCAACACAAAGCCAATTCCTTTCCCTGAATCCCTAGTCTGATTTGGACTTCTATCCTCACCTCCCTCAAGCACTGATTGAAGATGTTTTTACCTGTCTCTCTTCTCTCTTAAACTGGGAGCATGTTGAGGCCAGGGACTATCCCTTATTCACACGCATATCTGATCATCTTTGTGACCAGTGAATGGTAGTAGGTGCTCATGATTGTTTTTGAATAAGTTAAGGAATTACTATAATTGGATTGGATACAGAGTACTATGAGTACAGAGTGAGGTGAGTAACTAATCCCACTGGGGAGGAGGGAAGGAGTTGGGAAAGGTCACAGAAAGGATAACATCTTAAAGCATGAGAATGTGCTTCAGGGATTGAGGGAGGGTGTTTAGGACAATGGAGTCAGTTGAAATAGTCTTAGCTGTTCGTCCTCTTGTTTTTGAGCATTCCCTGCCTTTTCTAAACCCTGTCGTTCCATGGGCCTTCCATGAATCACCTTCTTTGGGGTCTTTTTTTGGCTCCCTGAAAGCCATACTTCTTTATTGGACATTCTGCACAACACCAGGGAGAACCTCAAATTCCCCTGTCCTTTATTCTCAAAACTGAGGACATCAGTGAGGAAATAGCTGGATCTGGAGCTCTGGGGAACTGTTCTGAGACTACTTAGAGGTACTCTGTATCTTTGCACTGGCGCCAGTCAGTAAAGACGTTGTCCACCCTGATAGACTAGCCATTGTTGACTGTTGGTGGGGATTTCAGGGGAGGAAGGTAAGGGAAGGGTTTAGGAAGAGATGAGAGGTCTCAAACCATCCTTGGATGCACCTCATGTTAGTGCTTGCCTGCTGGCTCAAGGAGACTAAAGTAAGTCATACCGGCATTTTTTTTTTTTTTTGGGTACAGTTGGGTTTTTTTATACTCTCTTCAGTCACTACATTGAGGTTATGTCTGTGTAGTCACAAGCCAGGGAGGCAGCAGCCAAAATGGAAAATGTTCTTTCTATAAAAGATCCCTATACATGTGTGTACATATATGCATACACATACATGCATGTGTACATATATATAAACACACACAACTTACTTGTTGCCCCCATTAAAATGTCACCTTGCATCTCTTCTGGGCTTTCCAGTTTTGCGAAGCACATGCATTTACATGCAGTTTATTTACTAGGCTGGAGCTCTGGGATGAGACTGGAGAAAAAGATATCCAGTGGCGGGTCATCATGTGAGGACCAAACGTCACAAGGCTGCTCCTGTGTCAGGATAGCCATTCAGTCTGGCAGTCTTCTCTTTCCACCAGCAGCATAGCACCTTCCCATCTGCTGCCCTCCAGCTGCACTGCAGTTTGCCTAGGAAGCCACAGCATCCTCGTCCATGCAGACATGCTAAGACTAGGAGGTCCCTGAGAACCAAAGAGACAAAGTCTTGAACATCATTAGCGCAAAATGACCCAAACCAAAGAAACCTTGAGACAAAGTAAGATTTGGGGTGGGAATTTATCTGCAGGATTCTTAGTGCAATAATTTTTAAGGAGGCAAAATAGAGCAGTTTGGTTTCTAAATTTGTTGTTGTTCTTCTGCCGTAATAACAACCTCATTTTCTGCCAAAAACTTATGTGGCTTCTTTTCTGAATAAATACCTGCTGGTTTATTTTCTACAGAACAGACTATAGGGCACCTTCACTTATTTTATTGTCTCCTTCAGAAGAAATTTGTATGGGAGAGCTAAAAAGAACAACTGGATTCCAGAGGCTACAGCTTAGGGATTGGATCCCAGGCTACTTCTCCAGCTTCATCTCTGGCCACTCCACAAACTCTGTCTGTCTTCCATTCCAAACTGCAGTGTATGTGTGCGTACACACACACACACACACACACACACACACACACACGCAGTTGGGCTGGTTCCACATTTTCGCAATTGTCAACTGTGCTGCTATAAACATGCTCGTGCATATTCTTTTTCAATAATGACTTCTTTTCCTCTGGGTAGATACCCAGCAGTGGAATTGCTGGATCAAATGGTAGTTCTAGTTTTGGTTCTTTAAGACCTGAAACTATAAAAATTCTACAAGATAACATCGGAAAAATCCTTCTAGACATTGGCTTAGGCAAAGATTTCATGATCAAGAACCCAAAAGCAAATGCAACAAAAACAAAGATAAATGGATGGGTTTAATTAAACTAAAGAGCTTTCGCACAGTAAAAGGAACAGTCAGCAGAGTAAACAGACAACCCACAAAGTGGGAGAAAATCTTCACAATCTGTATATCTGACAAAGGACTGATAACTGGAATCTACAAGGAAGTCAAATTAGCAAGAAAAAAACAATTTCTTCAAAAAGTGGGCTAAGGACATGAATAGACAATTCTCAAAAGAAGATATACAAATGACCAAAAGACATATGAAAAAATGCTCAGTGTCACTAACGATCAGGAAAATGCAAATCAAAACCACATTGCGATACTACCTTACTCCCACAAGAATGGCCATTATCAAAAAATCAAAAAATAATAGACGTTGGTGTGGATGCAGTGAAAAGGGAACACTTCTACGTTGCTGTTGGGAATGTAAACTAGTCCAGCCACTATGGAATACATCTGTTATTTTGACTTTCACACATGCCTGGCACATAGAAACTAAAAACACTTCACTTTTGCCCTCTCTCATTTAAAACCACCCTCTTTCTATACTCCAGCCTGGGTGATGGAGCAAGACCCTGCCTTTTAAAAATAAATAAATGAATTAAATGAATTAAATAAAAAGTAAGCCATCCTTCTTGAAAAAGGCCTGCTTAAAAAAAACCCTGCCCTCTAGTGGTCATTTCTAAGCTTTGTTCCGGTTCTGATGGTAGCTGTTAATACCTCTCCATTGTAGCCATCTACTGTTCATTGTTCATTGCTCACAGGTCCCCAGTTATAGATGAAGGATGGTGTTAAAAGTCTGATAGTTTTGTCACCATGCCTTTCCAGTCCTGCCTAGAACATATAAAACATTAACATGTGACTGGGGTTGCCTGGAAAACACTGATTACCAGCTAACTCCCAGACCTAATTGTTTTCACAGGAATTACAACTATTTGCCATTTGAGGATAAGAAGCCCTGTGTCTACTTCATCAGCTCTTGGGGAGACCAGACCTTCAGGCTGCACTGGTCCAACATGCTAGAGAAAATGGCAGACTTTCTGGTAGGTGACTCTGATGGTAGGGTGATGGATTCGAGAATTGGGAAGCTGTTTTGGGGGAAGGAATTTTTAAAATCTACCCAGTAGAGGGTGTTGACCTCAGTTTAAATACAAATAAATTGAGGATGCTGCATTTGGAGGGCTCGTGGATCCTACCATGCAAATCTAGGGGAATGAGACTACATTCTGTAAAATTCCTGGACTTCAATCAAACTACCTGAATTCAAATCCATGCTCTACTTCTGGCTGTTACAGGATCTAGGTGTAGGCTGTTTTTCTAATCTCCAAAGGGCAGGAGTTGACAACTTTCCCACAAAATAGGCAGATCCTGGCTTCAACTAATAAAAAATCCTAAGTTCCTGGCATGGTGGACAACTCCCTACAAGATCAGGCCCTGCCTACCTCTACAGCCCCATTTTTCTTATGTTCTTCCTCCCTCACTTTGTTCTAACCACACTGGTCTCCTTTGTGTCTCTTGAAGAAACCAAGTTCCTTTAAGCCTTGCATCCATCACAATGCTGGTTCCTCTGTTACTTTGCCCCTCTGCAGTCTTCACCTTGTAACCCAGCCAAATTCCAGGCTCAGTGGCTCAGCTTCAGACTTCCTCAGGGAAGATTCTGACACCTTCTAACCCCTTACCTTCTTATATAACACCCTGTTTGGGTTTTTTTTTTTCTTCTCTTTTTTTTTTTTTTTTTTTTTTTTTTGAGAAGGGGGTTCTTGATTTGTCACTCAGGTTGGAATGCAGTGGTAAAATCACAGCTCACTGCAGCCTTGACCTTCTAGGCTCAAGTAATCCTCCTGCCTCAGCCTTCCATGTAGCTGGGACCACAGGCATGTACCACCAAATGTGGCTAATTTTTTAAAATTTTTGTAGAGATGGAGTCTCACTGTGTTGCCCAGACTGGTCTTGAACTCCCAGGCTCAGTAAGGCCTCCCACTTCAGCATGTCAAGTAGTTGAAACTACAGGTACACATGCACCACCATGCCTGACCTTTTTTTTTTTTTTTTCTTGTAGAAACAAGATCTCACTGTGTTACCCAGCCTAGTCTGGAATTCCTGGGCTTAAGCAATCTTCCTGCCTCAGGCTTCCAGATTGCTAGTGTTACAGACATGAGCCATTGTGCCTGGCCAATACTCTGTTCTTTTCCTTTGGAGTTCTTATCATAGTTCACAATATATTTGTGTGTTTATTGTTCGATAACTGTATGCCACGATTTCTATGGCATTTAGCCTAATACTTGGCACCTGATAGGGACTAAATAACTATTTGGGGAATTGAATATATGAAAGTATTTTATACTGTAAATAGTGCCAATTAATATGCAGTCAATGCTAGATTTTCCCACCTAAGCTGCCCCAGGAGGGAGAGAAGGCTGGGACCTCTTTTTCTCTGACATCTTGTACCTCCCCTTTGCAAGTCCTTCTCTCCTACTCCCATGCTCCCACTACTCCGTCCCACATGCCTCATCAGATCACTCTTGTCTTGTCCCTCCTGTCCCATTAAAACCGATGCTAAGTCAACAAATTTATCTGTCCCATTTGCTTTATAATACTTGTCTCTAAATGTGTAAAACAAAGTATTGTCTCTGACCATCGGGATTCCAGGCCTCATGGAGATAAACTCTGAAAGGGGTCAGAAGGCCTAGTCTGGGGTCACAGCATTTGGAGGTCACAGACTGTCTTGGTTGGGCTGGTCTTACTTCTCCTTCAGACAGAACAGATCATTTATCTCCAAGAGTCTTGACAAGGCAGATCAGAATTTTTCCTAGAAGCCATAGTGACATTCATTTCTAATTCCCTTCTCAGTGTTGGCATCCCTGCCATGCTTAGCATATCATGGCTAACCACCATGGGAAACATGACTGAATGTTTACTAACTACCACGTGCTGTTCGAAGATATTCACACCCTGCTATAGTGTTGTAGTTGGGTTCTGTTATTATTCCATTCTACAGATAAGGAAATTGGGCATAAATACATTAGTTCACTTATAAGTGTTAGAGCCTGGAGTTGACCCCAGAACCCAAGTCCTTAACTATGCCACAGTGTTACCTATTCTTATAGTGAAGGTGTAAAGAGAGGAGCATAGGTCCCCAGGCACCAGACTTTGGGATATGGTAGAGAATACAATTTTGTAAATTCTAATAGTAACACATATATTTCCCCTGAGGTGCCATTTTCCTCCAGCCCACTAAATAGAATTCTAGAATTTAGGCCCAAAAGAAAAGTCTAATTATTAAGCATAGGGCCATTGCCATATACAATCTGTCCCATTATCTGACCCAAAACTCATGTAATTAGAAGAACAGGGAACCCTTTAATTTCAGAGATTATTCAATATGATTATATTCCTATGTAAAACATTACTTTAGAAGTTTTGGTAATTGTATCGAATTACTCTACATTGTTAGCTATTTCCCAAATTATTAGGTTTCCACAGAGGGTAGATTCTAAATAAATGGTACCCAGTTAGGGAATGGATCTACAATAGAAAAAATGAGTTTGAACAGGACTGGACCAATTCCACTTATAAAAAGGAAGATTCGACCTTAGAATGCAGTAGCACTTCCCAATTCAAGTACAAGAAAACCAGAGAAATCTTCCTTCATTTCCAAAACAAACAAAAAAATTAGCTAGCTGTTATTTCTAGTATGTTACAATGAGTATCTCTACTACCAATCTCATTCCCACCACCTCATGTCTCCACCCCTGTGGTTTGTTTTCAGGAAGAAAGTATAGAAGAAATGAGAGAATTGATTAAGATTTCAGAGGAGGCACCTGAAGAGAAAATGAAAACAGTGCTCAGTGACTTCATCAGTCAAAGCAGGTACTGAGAGAGACAGCCCACATATGCAGAGCTGAGCTTCTGTGGACTCAACTTTTAATTACCTTCAGAAAGTAGTTGATTTCACATGCATTCAAATGGCCGTTTTATAGTGCTGTATCCATCTTAATTTTGTTCAGTAATTTAGCCAGTGCTTGTGGACTGACAACTGCTTCCTGACACTTAAACAACTAAAACATAAGTCAAGTGGGAAAAAGCAAAGAAAGACTTACTGCAGAGACTCTGTAGGAAACAAGAAAAATGCTGGTAGTGTTAGTGCACCAGCGTGGTGCTGTGCATATGGTAGACACTCAGAAATGATTTGACACTTAGATGGTCTCAAGAATAAGCTATTAATACATAAAATACTATTGTAGGGCTGAGGGAAAACATCTCTGAAGGGTCACTGAAAATCAACTATTTTCAGTGAAATATACTATTCAGTAAGCCTGAATAGTATATTTCAATATACTATTGTAGGGGCTGAGGGAAAACCTCCCGTCCCTTCTCTGAAGGCTTACTGAAAATCAACTGAAAAAAGTAGATTAATAGGAGAAAAGGCATGCAAATGTACTAAAACGCACAGGCAAGAATCACAGAGTGATTTCTCAATTACCCAGTGCAATACAGAAATGTATATACCCTTTTTCAGAGGGGACATGGGAGATGGAGAATGTAGACAGTTCTTTTGAGGGACAGTAAATCATCAGGAAGAATGAATGGACCAGGGAGATGGGAGGCAGACTTCAGGGGAAGGTGAAGGACGAAGCTGCACAGGAACAAAAGTTCTCTTATTTTTTATACAGATGAAGTCTCCCAGGTAATCTCTTGGAGCTGTCCTTCCTTAGTAGAATAGACGAAAAGTCTTTCTGGGCAGGTGATGATTCTAGTCTCTTCTCTGTTGTTGATCTTTCCTGGTTATTTGATGAGATCTCTAGGGAGGGAGTCTTAAGACAATCACATTTAAGCTTTCTCAGTCAGACTGGAAAATTTAGAGTCTCTCCTGATACTTTGGTAAAGAGGGTCAGAGAGACAGGGAGACGTGGAAAAGGTCAGAGAGAAACCCTGCTTCTGAGGCTTATTTCGGAGGCCTTCCAATTTTCAAAGCACTCAGCATCATGAAGCACCATATTTTGGGGAATTGTTTTCTGTGTCCCAACACTATTTAGTGAAATTTTTGTACAACATGTTAAGTACCAATTAGTAACCCTTATTCCAGATGGCAGACAATATAATAAAATATCAAAAATAGGTCATATAGTTATCTTTTACTGAGTAACAAATTTCCCCAAACTCAGTGCCTTAACACCATAGCTATTACCTTACCATTTCTGTGGGTCGGGGGTCCAGGAATGGCTCACCTGGGCAGTCATATCAAGGTTCCACTAGGATGGATTCACTTCCAAGATCACTCACGTGGTTATTTGCAGAGTTCAGTTTTTCACTAGCTATTGGTTGGAGGCCACCCTCAATGCCTTGCCATGTGATCCTCTCTAAGCTGCCTCTCATGACAGAACAGCTGGCTTCATTAGAGCCAGCAAGCACAAAGAGTCAGAACATCCCAGTAAGACAGAAGTCAGAGTCTCCCATGCCTAGTCTTGGAAGTGACAGCCCATCACTCTTGACTATTCTGTTAGAAGCAAGTCACTAGGTCCAGCCTACCTTCAAAGGTAGGGGATTACACAGTGGCATGAGTTGCAGGAGGTAGGACTCACTGGAGCCATCTTAGAGGCTGCTGACCATTTAAGGAAACAACCCTGGACTAACCCTTGAAATTAACTAGGTTAAGATTCGAGCAGATATGAGAATTTGTCATAATGGGACTAATGGAAATGGAGTGAAGATTCATTTGATGAAAGGCAAGAAGTAGCTAAATTCTGGTGTTCAGCTTTTCAAGTTCTGCCTCCTCAATCTCTCAACTACTCAACAATTTTTACTTTACAAAAAAAGGGAAGCAAAGAAATAGTTTTTATTTCTTGTTTTTCACTATAAAAGCAATATATATATTAGTGCTGATCCTGCTGTGAGCTGTTTAGTGCCACCTGCAATTCCTTTTAAGCATTTAAAAAAGCTTCACAATTCATATTTTTAGAAAGTGTTTATGAGCAAATTAATAGTTTGATAACTTTTCTAAGTTATGAGATTACTTGGGATGATAGTTAATCATTCCCCTTTTTTCTTAAAGTTTATAACCAACTGAAAAAATATTAGAATAAGACAGAGATCAAAATGTTAGTTTTATCACTGGAAAAGTTGGGTTTGAGAAAGCAGCTTGGACCCAAGGTCAAGGCAAGTTTCCTGTTCCCCTGACCTGTTCATGGCCAAGAAGCTCAACAGGGCTTCTCCCCCCATCTCACCCTTGCCCCTCAGAGGGACAGGCTGCTTGCCATGTGACATGTGAAGGTAAGAGGGATATCCACAGCCAGCAGGCAGGCTAGGTCTGAAAGATGAAGAATGAACAGAAATGTGTGCCATAGTCATTTACCCCAATTTTAATGAGGAAACAAATTAATTCTCCTTGTGGGGAAAGGAAAGGGATTAGAAGTGATTATGTCTACCTGCACTGATCCATTCTGGAGAGTGAAATGAATTCCTTCTGCCACAAGTGAAGGCAGGAATTGGGGCAATGGAATTCCCTCCTCAAAATATAATCCTTTTTACTCTTTTTAAAAAATTAAAGAAGACATAGCTTAACTAGTGTGTCCAAGAAGGATTTCTGGTGAGGCTTCCAGCCGCCAGTGGGTAGAGGCTGGGGTAGGACCTTGCACTGGGTGGTGTAGCATCTTAGACTTTCCTTTGTGTTTCCTTTATAATTGATTTTTTTCATCAAAAGTGCTCATCATTGAAATGATCATGCTTGTCATTTTTTTAAAAAAACAGAAATATATAAAGTAGAAAAGTTCTTCTCAATTCTCTCACTCTCCAGTGAGAAGAGTTTGATTTGTCCTCCTGGACTTTTTTCTGTGCATTTGCAAACATATACCCTCATATGTACATACTCATAAAATATCGTATTTCTTCATAAACAATATCACACATTTTGCTCAGCAGGTTATCTTTTCATTCAGCAAAATATCACAGGCATCTTTCTGTAGGTGCACATAATAGATATCCTGAATATTCAATTGCATGTATGTGGCATGATATATTTAGTCCCTAATGATATTTAAGTTGTTCCCATTTATTTTGCTACAATTAATATCATTGTGTAAACATAATCTTGTCAGATTGTTCGATTACTTTTGAAGGACAAGAATTCTAGTATAATTTAGAATCAAGTTTAAATTTTGATAGGTGTGATCAAATTGCCTCTAAAACACTGTAACAGTTTACACCCACCTTCAATAGAGTAGAGGAACGACTAGCTCCTAACATCTTCACCAACCTTGAGTATTATTCATTTTTATAGGTAAAATGGTATTGATTTTAATTTGCATTTACGTTATCACTAGTGAGGACAATATCTTATTTTCCTAAGTGTTTAGTCCATTTACATTTTTCTTCTTGAATTGTGTTCATAATCTTTACTATTTTCTGATTGAACATATTTTTAAACTTCATCTCCAAAAAATGTTACTACTCAGTCTTTCCTATTGTTTTTAAACAGTGGGGACACATTTCAGTATTGAATCTAAAATATTTGTTTTACATACAACTTTTCAGAAAACTTTTGGTGTGTGTTAAATTTGTAAGATGAAGGAAAACAGCATTTTGTGGGGTTTGTTATGAATTTTTACAGCAATCACAATAGATTGCACTGAAAGTGGAAAAACAAATATCTCTTCCCCAAAACTAATGTTTGGTCTGGGCATCATTTCCAGTTCTCCTTTTGTCTCTTGGAAAAGTTAATACATTGTTGCTTAAGCCTAAATTAAAAATCTTGGTTCTATGACTTCAAAAGCTTTCCGATGTAGTGCAGAAAAGATATTTGCAAATCTCTGGAATTAAATAGATGGATTTTCACTAAGTAAGTTTCAAAATGTTATTCTTTTCTTATAGCGCCTTTATCTCTGAAGCAGAAAAAAAGCCCAAGATGTTGAACCAAACCACTTTAGATAAGAAACGTCTTACGCTCTGCTGGCAGGAGCTGGTATGTGAAAATCTATTTATATTTTGTGGACAGAGTTAAAACATGAGCTTTAAAAATAAACCTCACACATGTGGCATAGGTCACAGACCAAATGAGGATAAGGTTTAAAGGTCATACATTTGTGGGATGCAGAGACAAGAGTGAGAAGGGAATATTTGTTAAGTTGGAAAGAAATTAACATTTATTGAAGGTTTACAAGGATGAGCTAGAAGCCCACTGGTCCTACTTCCTATTCTGATCAAGCCCCCTCTTGCTCATTTTCTTGACCTTCATATTTTGTTAAAGGCGTAGACTTGTTTGGCCCTCTGCCCCACAAGCTGAGAGAAAGAGAGGAAACAAAACAAAACTATGCTCCCTGACTTCAGGTTCCCTCATTGAGAATTGTGTTAAAATGTGTAAGCCCTTCTTGAGAACAGGGCCGTAGTTGATGCCCCTCTCTATCCTGGGAACCTGCACACGCTAGGTGCCTAATAGCTGCCCAGTTCTTGTTCAATGACTGGTGACTGGAATTGCCAGACCCAGTCAGGCCCTGGATTAACTCAATTGGAAATGTCAGTTCCAACAATGGCACCAAGGGACATTTCATGTGAGGACAGGATAATTCTGCAAAGAAAATTATTCAGCGCTTGACTTGACAGGGATGTTTTAAAGTATGAGTGGGGCTCAGAGAGATTAAATGATTTTTTTCTAAAGATGACAGCTAGTTAACTGTAGTCCAAAGACTAAAACCCAGGTCTCCTAACTCCTCATTCATCCTTCTTTCCAGAATGCTGCTTTTCTGTCCTCTGGAACATTTCAGGAAGGCTAGATTCCCACCACCAATAAGACCTTCTTCCTATGATGGCTTTTCTCAGCACCTGTGGCTGAAGTGCTGTCTCTGCAGCTGCCCTCTGCTCCACATTTTCTGCAGAGCTCTGTCTTCACATTGTCTGACAGTCCTCGGCCTGATGATTTCAGTATCTTTTTTTCGTGGTCCAGGTCTCCCTCCTCATCTCTAGACCTGCATTTCCAGCCTCCTAGTGGGTACCTCCATGCTTGTCTCACATCACCCCAAACTCTTTGTATCCTACTGAGCCTGTCACCTTATCTAACCTTGTTCCACATCCTGATATTGGCACCGCCAGCTATACTTACTGCTCCACCCAGAAGGCTAAGCTTCAACATTGGCTCTTTATCTCTCACCTTAAGTAGCCAGTTGAATACCAGGTCCTGTAGGTTCTGCCCCTTAATAACTCTGGAACAAACTCCACTTCTTCATCTTCAGAGTCACTGCCTAAACTGAGTTTCTTAGCGTATTGCAAAAGTCTTCTTCTAATCCATCTTCCTTATTACAACAAGCATGGTCTTCCTAAAACACAAATCTGATTAGATCATTATGCTTAAAAAAAAAAATCACTGGTGTCTCTTAGTCATTCATAAGATAAAGTCTAAATCCCTTCTACATGATATATTGGGCTATTTATTGTCTAGTCCCAACCTAGCATCCCAGCTTTATCCCTCTTTAGTTCCTTCCCGTGTACGTATGCTCTGACAGTTTTGAATCCTTGACGATTATGTATATTCAAATGTAATTTTTCCCTCTGTCCTCTTACTCTCTGATTAATTCTATTCACGTTTTAAAATTCAGCTCAAATGCCATATTCTCCAGGTAACCAGCTTTGCCCCTGTCTAGTACCACAATGCTTCACACATTTTAATTATGTGCATGTATTATTTTCACCTTACCAAACTGTCAATGTCTCAGGGAAAGGAAGCGTTATTTCTTCTTCCTGTCCCAGGCCTGGGCTCCAAGCATAGTGCCTGGTAGATAGCAGGTATGCAGTTCTTCCAGTCAACATTAGCAGAGCCTTCTTATGTGCCTCACACTCTGCTATATGCTGGGAACAAAGCTGGAAGAACTTGGTGCTTGTACTTGAGGAATTTCTAGATCAAATGGTTCATTCAGTACATAAACATTTATTTAACACCTATGTGCCAGGAGCTCTGTTAGACACGGAGCCTACAATAAAGGCAAAACAGTGGAGGTCCTTGTCCTAATGAAGTTGACACATTAATGGTGAAGACAGAAGATAGACAGGTAAACAGCAAATTCATAAAAATTATTACAGATCATGATTAAAAAGGAAACTCTTAAAAAGCCACAGTGATCAGGAAAACATGGGGGAATTTAACACATTGGTGACATTTAAGTTGAGGCCAGAAAGATGAGAAGAAACCAGCCATGTAGAGTGTAGGAAGAACATTTGAGCAAGAGGAATCACCAAGTATACCAACTAATATGGTTTGGCTGTGTCCCCACCCAAATGTCATCTTGAATGCTCACATGTTGTGGGAGGGACCCACTAGGAGGTAATCGAATCCGGGGGGCAGGTCTTTCCCATGCCGTTCTTATGACAATGAACAAGTCTCACAGATCTGATGGCTTTATAAAGGGGAGTTTCCCTGCACAAGCTCTCTTTCTTTGCCTGCTGCCATCCATGTAACACATGACTTGCTCCTCCTTGCCTTCTACCATGATTCTGAGGCCTCCCCAGCCATGTAGAACTGTGGGTTCTCCATTAAACCTCTTTCCTTTATAAATTACCCAGTCTTGGGTATGTCTTTATTAGCAGCATGAGAACAGACGAATACACCAGCTTTAGGATGGACCAACTTTGTCATGTTCTAGGGCTTCCGAGGACCAGGGTGCCTGAGGCACAGTGAGCGAGGAAGGAATATTACAAGATGAAGCAGACAGTGGCAGGGCCAACTCACACAGGGCCTTAGAAGTCACTGTAAAGATTTTTTTTCCCCTAAGCTTATACTGAGCTCCCTGGTGGCACTTCTCAAATGATGTCTTCTTGGTCTGAAAGCAGCCACTGTACCTCTGGGAAGAAGTGGTAAGTGCAGTGGTTAAGCACATGGGCTCTGGATGCTGCTGAGGGTCAGCTCTGGCTCTGCCATTCAGTAGCTGCATTACTGCTTCTTCAGCTGTAAAATGGGAATAATAGTACCTACTTCGTACTGCTGTTATGAGGAGTAACAAAGGATTAATCCAGTGGTTCGGATGTTGCCTGGCACAGAGTAACAGCTTAATACACCTTAAGCTGCAATTATCATTGTTGTTGTTGTTAAATATCAGAAAGCCTGTGTGTTAGTCTGTTCTCACACTACTAATAAAGACATACCCAAGACAGGGTAATTACAAATGAAAGAGGTTTAACTGACTCAGAGTTCCACGTGGCTAGGGAGGCCATGGTGGCCTCCAGTCATGGCAGAAGGCAAGGAGGAGCAAGTCACATCTTACATGGTGGCAGCAAGAGGAGTGCCAAGCAAAAGGGGCAAAAGCCTCTTATAAAACCATTAGATCTCATGAGAACTCACTATCATGAGAACAGCATGAGGGTAACCACCCCCATGATTAAATTACCTCCCATGTGGGTCCTTCCCATGACACATGGGGATTATGGGAATTACAATTCCAGGTGAGATTTGGATGGAAGACAAACCATATCAGCCTGGATTCAGGTGCTGGCTAATAAGCCATATGACCTTGATAAGCCTCTGACTTTTCTGGGCCTCAGCTTCTCATCTGTCAAGCAGAGGTGAGATGATATTTACCACCTTCATAGTCCTGTGAGCTTTCCAGTAAGGGGGCAGCGTGCACAGTGGCAGACCCTGGAACAGCCCATGTGAGTGGCTCAGCGCGGAGTGCACCAGGACCTTCAGGTCTCTTCAGCAACAAGACACTGCTTGTTGTCCAGATCTCTAGAAAGACCTACACTGACTCTTGTCTTGTTTTAGGAGGCAATGTGCAAGGAGGCCAAGGGGATCATTCAGCAGCAGAAGAAAAAGTTATCTCTTGATGAAATGATTCACGAAGCTCAGAACTTTGTGGAAAAAATCCGCTTTCTTGTTGATGAGGTAATTGACTCTAAAGGTAATTGACTCATTGGAAAGTTAGACTGAATGTCTTCCAAGGAGTTTTGGATGGTTGGTATGGATGAAATATGAATTAATGTTTTTCTCCCCAGCCCTAGTGAGTTGAGCAGGTACTCCTAGTTTAGAGAAGAGATTTTTAAATTAAACCAAGCAAGTACAGCTTTGTTTATTTACTTATTTTTTTTTAACAAAGCCTGAGCATTCAGCAAAATGAAAGGCACATTCTCTAATGGGCTTAAGTGAAGTCAGCATAAGCACAGAAACTTTGATAGGTTTTCAACTATAAGAGGATTTAAACTCGTGCCCAGTAAGGGCACAGCAGCTTCTCATTTTAAAGTTAGTTGTAAACAGTGTCTTGTGACTTCTAGAATGACCTTTTTAAAAAGGGCCCTCAGATTTGCAACTGTCAGATACTGACACTCCTTCTTAATGCCTGCAAATGTGTAGAAACCTCAAAAACAGGGTTTTATGTGGGATGATTTCAGGGACAGAGATTTACTGCTTCTGTTTCTTTTGAAATTTCTAATTCTTGTTGCAAATAATCAGTCATTTCCTGGAGGCATATTACTTGGTGAGACAGGCAGACAGTAGACATAGGAAGTTTAATAAGTACTCAGAAGGGTTGAACCAGGCAACAGGGCTTTAGGTTTGTGATGACCAACCCTTGGCAGGGAAAGCCTCTCTCCTGGTGTCTCTCTTTCCATATCAAGGAGAAGGGGTGCCCACTTTGGGGATTAATTACACCTGATCACTCAGGATAGGAAAGACAGAGCATCTGCTTTCAGTCCAGGAACGTCAAAGCCTTGTTTATAGCAATATGCCCCCTTAGTGTTTTGAGAGTTTTGTTTGTTCAGAAATGTGCATTTCAAACACCCACAACATAATGGGCCACTTGGCATGGAATTCTACTCTGCCTATCTTGATTAATTCAACTTTAAAGCCTAATTTCCTATGCAATGTAGCCGAGTTCCTGCTGAATAACCACTTAAAATGGAACTAAAATATTTTGCAATCATATTTTAGGTACACAGTTCCTTGTAAAATTACTTTCCTATGAGCAAGTGTAAGGAAAGTCAGTCAAAGACATTCACAGATGTTTTTGTTGTTTCATTTGAATATTCTGGAAATGTTACCTGACTCTGAGGAGTGCTTAGAGCTAAATCATTACTACAAGATTGGGGAAAAAATCCATGGGAAGTTGTCCAAAAGTGTTTTTCCTGCAGATGGAGAAAAGTGGACTACCAAAGACGCCAAATCACAGGTCCAACTTACGTGTTCTAGTAGCACAATGAGCAATTTGGCACGTGGGATTGTATGCACTTTTAATTCATGACCTAAGGCTTTCTCTTCTCTAGAAAGCTGCATTTAATTTGCTTGATGGCATAGATGTTTCAGTGCCTAGATGACTTCAGTCACAGCAATTGTTTTGTCGAAGAGCGACTGTTTCAGGATAGAGCTCTGCAAGTGCATTTGTTCAATACCAACCTTTCAAATCCCAGTCCTATCCAATCCCAACTCCCTCTGTTCCCGCAGCCCCAGCACACCATCCCTGATGTTTTCATCTGGATGCTCAGCAACAACAAGAGAGTGGCCTATGCCCGCATCGCCGCCAAAGACCTCCTCTATTCCCCTGTCACAGGGCAGATGGGCAAACACTGCGGCAAGATCAAAACTCACTTCCTCAAAGTAAGTGAGCAGTATTTTAACTAAAAGAAGAGAGATTTCTGTTTCTCTAGGAAGGCTCAGACTTTCTAGTGTGTGTCGGTGACTCCAACTGTTTGCCAATGCTTTCAAAGATAGGAGGACAACTAGAACACCTTGCTACCTCTTGGTTTAAATTGCAATTCAATAGACCACCTTTAGGTGGATTTTTTTTTTTCAATTTTTTTGTAACTGTTACATCACCTGGCACCCATAAGTTTCTGTTTAAATCTAATGGGTTCCTTTAATTTTTACATCTTTGATTATTAGTATTTATAACAATGAACCTTAATTTTTTTTATTTCAATAGCTTTAGGGGTACAAGTGGTTTGTGGTTACACGGATAAGTTGAATAGTGGTGAAGTTCAGAATTTCAGGGCAACTATCATCTGAGTAGCGTACAATGTATTGAATAGGTAGGTTTTGTTTTTTCTCATGCCTTTCCTACACTCCCCTTTCTGAATTTTCAATGTTCATTATACCACTCTGTATGCCTGTTCATACCCATAGCTTAGCTCCTGCTTATAAGTGAGAACACACAGTATTTGGTTTTCCAATCTTGATTTACTTCACTTAGAGTAAATAAAGGCCTCTAGTTCCATTCAAGCTACTGCAAAAGACATTATTTCATTGCTTTTTATGGCTGAGTAGTATTCCATGGTGTGTGTGTGTGTGTGTGTGTGTGTGTGTGTGTGTGTGTGTCTGTGTGTGTGTGTGTGTGTATATATCTCACATTTTCTGAATCCAGTCATCAGGTGATGAGACACTTAGGTTGTTGATTCCATATCTTTGCAATTTTGAAATGTGCTACAATTAACACGTACATCCTAGTGCCTTTTTTATATAGTGACTTCTTCTTCTGTGGGTATGCACCCAGTAGTGGGTAGTGGGATTGCTGGATTGAATGGTAGATCTACTTTTAGTTCTTTGAGAAATCTCTATGCTGTTTTTCAGTAGAGGTTGTGCCAATTTATAGTCTCATCAGTAGTATATAAACGTCCCTTTTTAGCCACATCCATGCCAACATCTATAGTTTTTTGACTTTTTAATAATGGCCATTCTGGCTGAGGTAAGGTGGTATCTCATCATAGTTTTAAGTTGCATTTCCCTGATGATTAGTGATGTTGAGCATTTTTTTCATGTGTTTGTTGGCCATTTATATATCTTCTTTGGGGAAATGTCTTTTCATGTCTTTTACCCATTTTTTAATGGAATTTTTTTTTCATGTTGATTTGTTTGAGTTCCTTGTAGATTCTGGACATTAGTCCTTTATGGGATACATAATTTGCAAATCTTTTCTCCCATTCTGTAGGTTTCTATTTACTCTGATGATTCTTTTGCTGTGTAGCAGCTTTTTAGCTTAATTTGGTCCCATTTGTTTTTGCTTTGGTTGCATTTGGTTTTGGTATCTTAGTCATAAATTTATTGCCTAGGCCAATTCTAGGTTTTTTTCTAGATCTTTTATGGTTTCGGGTCTCGGATTTAAGTCTTGAATCTATCTTGAGTTAATTTTTTATGTGGTGAGAAATAGAGATCCAGGTTCATTCTTCTACATATGGCTACCTTGTTTCCCCACTACCACTTATTGAATAAGGCGTCCTTTCTCCAATTTGTGTTTTTGCATGCTTTGCTAAAGATCAGATGGTTATAAATATCTGACTTTATTTCTAGTTTTCTATTCTGTTCCATTGGCCTATATATCTACTTTTGTACCAGTATCATGTTGTTTTGGTAACTATAGCCTTGTATAATTTGAAGTCAGGTAATGTGATGGCTTAGGATTGCTTTGGCAATTTGGGCTTTTTTTTTTTTTTTTTTTTTTTTTTTTTTAGCTCCCTGGGAATTTAAGGATAGTTTTTTCTAATTCTGTAAAAAATGATGTTGGTATTTTGACAGGAATGGCATTGAATCTGTTGATTGCTTTGGGCAGTATGCTTATTTTCATGATATTACTTCTTCCAATCCATGAGCATGGGATATATTTGTATTTGTGTCATCTATGATTTCTTAGGATGAACATGTTTCTCTATCAGTTTTCTCACTACCTTTTCACTTTTGTAATTTGTCCATGGCATTTTCTCACATGAGTTAATCTGTATTTTAAAATAGTTTCAAAGAAAATTAGAAGAAGAACAGAACTGCTAGTTCAGGATTCCCTGTGACTTTAAATCGTAAAATTATAAAATTTTCAACTTGGAGGTCCTGCACCCTTCATCAAGACAGAGTCCCCAGATGCCTTCTGGGTGGGCCCTTATAGACATGTGTCTCTGGACAGATTCTACTGTCTCTAACTCAAGATATGAGCTTTGCTTGGAGACATGGGTATTTCACTTCCACTACAAATAAATTTGTATCCCAGCAAGTAGAAATGAATGAATAAGAGGAAAATGTGTCCAAAGCCTTTACCCCACCAGTGACTGACCACAAGAGTACAAGTTGACTGATTCACTTTTCCTAACTCATAGCCGACTGTCCTCCCAAAATCAGTTCTGGTTTCTTGCTATAAAATAATTACTTCTTTACTGACTCAGGGAGGATGAAAAGGCTCAAAGCTATGCCGTAGAGGAACAGGTAAAGAGGTGGCAATTCTTAGCTGAGGACATCTAAGCCTGAGAGAATAGTTTCAGTGTTTGTGGGGCTAGCATGTAGATGGAGGGGACGTATGAGGGAGAGGGGGACACAGAGAGAGATTCAGCAGATAAAATCAGGCCCTACAAAGACATTACAGGGAAATAGTTTCCTAAATGGAAGTCCATAATGCATTCCTCATCTTTAGAGGTGTTAGCACACCCTAGGCAACTATTTGATGTAAACATGGCAGCAGGCAACTAACTATATTAAATAGCCTCTAAGTGTCATCCAACCTCAAGAGGCTACTGTAGATGTGACTGTTAAATGTTGCAGATAGGAGGTCCCTATTATTGAGAATGAGAGCCAGTATGGCATAATGGTTTAAAGCATGGGCTTTGAAATAATGTGAATTGGGTTGGAACTTATATTAGATTACTAGGGTTACTGTGACAATAATTAATTCCTCATCTATAAGGTAGCATGAACTGACTGGCTTAAACAACAAAAATGTATTATCTCATGGTTCTAAATGCTAGAAGTTCCAGGTCAAGGTGTTGGCAGATCCGTTCCCTTGAAGGTGTTAGGGAAGAACATGTTCCAGGCCTCTCTTCTAGCTTCTGGTTAGTTCAATGGCTTTTACTAGAATGGCGCCAATCGGCACATGACATTATTCCTTTGTCTGTGTCTGTCCCTTCATATGACATTCTTTTTATGACTCCAATCATAAAGGATTAGGGACCTACCCTAATCCAGTACAATGTCATTTTTTTAAATTATACTTTAAGTTCTGGGGTACATGTGCAGAACGTGCAGGTTTGTTACATAGGTATACACTACACATGCCATGGTGGTTTGCTGCACCCATCACCCCGTCATCTACATTAAATATTTGATCTAATGCTATCCCTCCCCTAGCCCCCCACCCCCTGACAGGCCCCAGTGTGTGATGTTCCCCACCCCTGTGTCCATGTGTTCTCATTGTTCAATGTCGTTTTAACTTAAGTAATTATATCTGCATTGACCCTATTTCCAAATTGGGTCATATTTTGGGTGTTGGGGATTACAACTTCAATATATAAATGTTGTAGGACCACAATTCAACCCATAATAGAATTCCAGGGACAACATACACTGGTTGTATGACCTTCGGCAACTTAACATTCTTCAACTATCAAATGAATAAAGAATGTTCCTCCTATTTTTCATTCATTAAATGGAGATTGTTGTGAGGAGGAAGTGAATAAATGCAAGTAAAGAACACGTAGTTGTGCCTCACATAATAATCAATAAATGCTAGCATTCTAACAACTAGATATCCAAGTTCCCAGAGGACATTGCTTAATTGTGTCCCCCTCATATCCAGCAAGTTGTTTAAGGCTCTCTGTGTTATTTTCTGGTCATGTATGTAAAATAATTTTGTTTTAGAGATGGCATATTACTCTGTTGCCAAGCCTGGAGCACAGTGGTAAAATCACAGCTAACTGCAGCCTCGAACTCCTGGGCTCAAACAATCCTCCCACCTCAGCCTCCTGAATAGCTAGGTCTACAGGCATCTGCCACTGCAGTTGGCTGATTTTTCTTTTTCACAGAGATGGGATCTTGCTGTATAACACGGACTTGTCTTAAACTCCTGGTCTCACGTGATTCCTCTGCCTTGTTTGGCCTCCCAAAGCACTGGGATTACAGATGTGAGCCACTGTGCTTGACCTAAAATGGCTTTTAAACCCACTCCAGTAAAACCATAACTGAAAAATCAGATTTTTCAGTTATGGTTTTACTGGAGTGGGTTTAAAAGCCATTTTAGGCATTCACCACAATTATCAAGAATTTTCTTCCATTCAAAGAATTCTAAGGAGGCAAGACATATTTGTCTTAAAAATAGCAAATCACTTCATAAGGCCCTGTGCTAAAAATACTAGAAAGGTGGTATAAAGTTACTCACTTCTAAATATTTGGATGTATCCTGGCACTATTTAAAATTAGAACAAAGAACAGCTGTCAAATAAAGTCAGAGTTTAGAGGACTTGAGAATGCAGAACTTTTGCCCTGGGGCATTCATCTGAATATTATCTTCATCTATAAGTCTTAGTTTATTTTCTTTATTTGTATTTTCCTTTTGCCATTGGAATTGCTCTGGGTGATAGCTTTCTAGATCTTGTTGAATACAATTATATGAACTTGATAAAATATCTTGATAAGATGATTTAGCAAGACCATTTCCATTTCTGTTTTGATTTTCACTCCTGACTTGAGCTCCCCTCTCACCCACCACCTCTCCTTATGCCCCTTTCTCCTCACTAAATGGGCAAAACCGGAAAATGCAAAGGCTACACCAGGGACACTGAGTAATCCCTCATCTGCCACTCACTCCAGTTTTATAGCTGGGAAATAGGATAGGAAGGTGGAGAGGGGGC